TCAAATGCAACATAAGACGTCTATCGTCTTGTTGTAAGTAAATATTATACAATTTTGTTTACCACATGAAAGAGATTAGGATGCGGCAATTCGACATACTCTGTTCGGACTTTCACCTCACCGCGCGTTCCGAACATTTTTTCTATGGTCGACGTAATTGTAACCCTTGTATATACAGTGGTGCCTCGTATAACGTACTTAATCCATTCCAGGTGCACGTCCGTTAAGTGAAAAGTCCGTTATACGAAACGCATTTTCCCANTTCGATATCACATTCACTCCTTTAGTCACTTTGGCAGCCTTAAATGCCTTTTTGTTTTTAATAATTGTAGAGATAGTCGATTTTGCCACATTATATTCTTTAGCAATGTCAGAAACACGAATGCCATTCTCGTATTTTGCAATAATTTCTTTCTTTAATGTTACACTAAAACGTTTTCTATTTTCACTGTCACTTTTTTCTTTCTTTGGTGCCATATTGATTAAATATACAGTATAAATAACAAAACTAAAAAATAAAGTTTAGCACACTCAAAAAAGCAATGCTTACCTTGCACACACCTAAGAGCCGTTCTGGAACCTCAGAACCAGCCGTTCTGAGTTCCAGAACGGCTGGAAACTATTGGGTTGATGCAAAAGTTTGTCCCGTTTTTAGCACCAGCTGGCTAAAAATGCAACACTGAAGTGTTATTTCTTTCACATGTGTAAAATTTCAATGTTGTTTGACAAAAGGGATCTCAGCTAGTATTTGAGAATAAAGTTGTGTTACTTAGTTGTGTTTTTAAAATTTTATTAAGCATTACAAATGGCAGAAAATAAGGAGCATTTTCGACATATTATACTTTTTTATTTCTGAAAAGGCAAGAATGCTTCACAGACACAAAAAAAGATAAGTTCTGTGTATGGTGAGGGAGCCATTGATGATTCCACGTGCCGTAAGTGGTTCAGAAAGTTTTGTGAAAGCAAGCTTACAAATTTGACACAAAAAGCCGTTTAGTTCATTATCCAGGACAAAATTTTTGCAAAATAAAAGTTTGTTAACTGATTTGGTCATTAACCAGGACGTTTGTTAACCGGGGTTCCACTGTATCTGGAAAAGCCACCACCTCTAATTTTATTAAACAAACTAAGAATTTCTAAACAGACCATTCTGTATAGTGATTGAATAAATTCGTTTTTCACTCTGTCTGTACCAGGAGATGAACCCTTTTTTAATCTTTGAATTGCCACTTTTAGTTTGTCAAATGAGAAAAGATCATCCAAAAGAGCAGAATTATCATAATTTATAGTTGGCAAGACACCAAGACCACTATTATTAAAATTTAATTTCAAAAAAAACTTATCCATTCATCAGTAGAAATCTGACTCTCTGAAGTTGCTTAACATACACTATTTATCACAATTATCCAACAGTCTCTTGACAATCTTGTAGTTTGCAACTGTTTACTTATATTAGTCCAATTTTTTTTCTTCTTAGCTTGACATAGCAAATGAAATCTAATTTTATAATTAATATATTTAACCAATTTCTCTCATTCGAGTGAAACATGCTAAACTCCCACAATGTCTTATTTTTCTCTTTTTTCACAATTTTACAGTCTATATTAAACCATCCAAAACCAACTCTGCTCTTATCCCAAATTTTATCACTAATCCACATTATCTAGTAGATTTCTAAATTAAAGTAATGATTAATTAATTAATTAATGTCAAGAAAAAGTGAAGATATCACAAGATTATAGGAAGAACTGATTATTGGGAACTCTCGCTTTCTCATATAACTTTTGTGTTTATTTCTTTAGTCATCATATCTTTTCTCTCACTATTGTAATCTTGCTATGCAATGTTTGTTTGTTTTATGATTGTGTATATACATACTAAATTTCAATAAATTCTGTTAAGTACATTTCATTTATTTTTCAAAAAATAATTTTTGGACTCTTGACATCAATATAACCTATAGCTTATTACATTGCGACTTATCACCACTATAGATATGTATTTCTAAACACTATTTTGGTTATAATTTCTTTATAAATAATTTCATATTCTATTATGATATATAGTGTACAGTGAACTCTTGTCAATCCAAACTAATTATTTTACAGGGTAAGCACCCTGTAAAATATTATGGAAAAATTTGTATTTGCAAGGTTATATATAAGAAAAAGGAAGTCAAAATGGACTACATAAAAATATAGATATTTAAAGTTTTTAAATTGTATTTGACACTCATGTTTATGTTAAAATGTATAATACATATTACTTTTACAAATTTTTAATGTTTTCAAGAAATAATTTTTGATTTGTTTTTGACTATAAAACTTAGCAGAAGTGTGCACTGTATACAGTATATTTATTTTCTTTTTATATTATTTATTTTGATAAATACACTGTATATTTATCAAAATAAAGAATATGCTTGAAAAATTAACTTAACTGAATAAGAATTTAATATATATCAGATATTCATGCAAAGTACTTATTGATTGCAGGATATAATAGAATAATATGGAACATAGAAGAAACAAAAGAAAACCTCTTACACCAAATCATTCCTTTAATTTGAAACTTAAACGTAGAAATAATGAACGGTAAATATATGTTATTTTATAAATCTTAATCTTTTTTCAACAAAGTTAAGTTTCCATCTTCTATAAAAAAAACCATAGAAACCAATAAAAATTTCTATTGATTTTTTTCTATAACAATATTTAAAACTAATAGAATTTTTTATTGTTATTCTAGGGAAATAAGTTATTTAAACCAATAGATACCAATAAAATTCCTGAGATCAAAGAATTAGTATAGCTCAACTATAGTTTTAATTATGGTATAAGGAAATTGTAAAATGAAAATTTTTCACATGCCACATGTACTATATGTGCCATCATAATTGGATGCTATTAATTTTCCATGTGACAAAACACACATGTATATTTTATTTTTTGGAAAAAAATACCTTTAAATTTTTTAATAACCGGTTACTGTACTCTTTTGCTAATATACTATTATTTGTCATTGTTCAGATTGGTAGAATTAATTTATAATTAAGAAAAGAAAGTCAGAAAGGTTACACATAAATAAGTGTATATACAGGGTAGTGCACATTATTTCTACCAATTTCAAATGACAAGTAAAAGACAGTGAAAAATTGTAGAAATTTTATTTGGCCATTAAATGAAAGACCACACATATACATTTAGTATCACTTATAGTATACAGTACAGGTATCTCTTGCTTAATATGGGATTTGATTAATGCTGCAAAAGTAATTTCGACGATCCCTTTATATACACGGCAGAAGTTTGAATTAATCTATCTTTAAATTTACCATGCAAAAATATACAAGCAGTGAGAAATGTTTTCTAATCAATAGAAAGTCATCATTCCTCCCAAGTAGTCATGCTGCCAGAGCCTTAGAGCCAGTTTATTACTCATAGTCATGCTTGTAGCTGTTCTACTATATTGACAAGTTATGTTCTTTGTAAACTTTACAGTCCATCAATCATGTTGAAAAATAACAGAAATTCCACAACTGGGTCATTAAATCAAAAAAAGAAGAGGAAAGTAATTACATTAGATACAAAACTTGAAATAATTAAAAGATTTAAATGTGTCAAAAGTAAAAGTAAAATTGCAAGTGAATTTGGTTTTAATGAGTCTACAATACGGACTATTTTATCCAAATCTGATGAGTATAGCAAGCAAGGTAAAGTTGCATCTACATCTGCAANCTTCTGTTCGCCGGATGTGTGAATCCGCGCCGCCGATAGTTCTCCTTTAATTTTAGTTCATTTATTTGACTTTGTATATTTGCTAGAGTTGCTTCTAAATTAGTTCCGCGTTCGTCCTCGGGACTATTTATCGCTCCGACTATCCCTCGTGCTTTTCTGGTTAACTGCTCTATTGTCTCCTCGCTGATTGCAATTTTGACTGCATTATCAAATGTGTCCGGTTCTCGGGACATTACCCTCCGTTTAATCTTGTCATTTAGCCCGCTCTGAATTGGACAAGTAATCTCTCGTCACGTTCCTTGGCTTGGCATTTTTTTATTACTGCGGTTTCCCGAGCGTCTACTCCTGTTTGTTCTATTATGGTTTCTGCCACTAAGCTCTGTAGTCTGACTGTACATCCTCATCGTGCCCCTTTGTGCAGGTATAAAATTTTTGTAGGCGAATTTCGTGTTATAAACTAAAATTTTTCCAAAATTTTAATTGAACTTTGAATGCAACTTTATTGAGATGGAATGAGTTATAAAAAATTAAAAGAGATAAGGGAAATATAAAATCTGGTTAACCCTTGATTCCCACGAGTCAGGTTCCTTGTTGAGATGAGTACATCTCTGTGTCACGATTGTGTCACCCATCACCTTATTGGTCCAAGGAGTTTGTCATCCCTGACGAAATCAGGGAAAGGCCCAAAAAAGAGGACTTCGTATAAAAAGGACAGACATGATGAGTAACGGTGTGGAAGTTATTATTTGATTGTGTGCCGTGCCGAGATTTTCTACAAGAGACTGTTCCTGTTCATCAACCAACACCTCCTCCTCACCTACTGAACTCAAAGATTTCAACAATTCACCTACTTAACTTCGAACTGTGGGACTTTATTGCAGTTATTTGATCAACAGTATAATATAACATATTTATCCTGCTCGCGCACTATTGTACGCTCTCTGTCTCCACGTAAACCAATCGCAAACTCGATTGTAACTAGGAATTGAACTAGAATGAACGCGATTCACGTAGCTTATTATTAACAGATATTAACCTTGTAACCTTAAAATGTATAACTGACGTAGATTTAATATAAATAAATGGTTGTTTATGTTTAAAGCAACTTTGAGTGCAGTTTCTTCCATTCTTCTCTCCGTTCACTCCATTCTGGGTCCAAACCTCGTACGTCACCACTCACGCAAACTTGTGGTGTCTGTATCAACCTAAGGATACAGTGGTGTCATCCTGATGTGGTATCAAAGAGATACCGACCCAATGGTCACACTTGTAAATCATTTTTAATAAAACTTTCTTCCATATACAGTGGAACCCTGTTAACGAATGTAATCTGTTCCACGAGTCCATTCATTAACCGAAGCAATTTTTCCCATAGAAATTAATGCAAATACAATTAATCCGTTCTAGCCATCAGTATTTTTGTAATTTTATTTGTAAAATGGGTTTTCTTTGATGAAAATATAAGAAAACATAGTATCTATCATTACAGCAACAAATATGTAAACTTTATTTAATAAAGTAGCACTGTACATACCTTTGTTTCTACAGAGCTTAATGCTTGGAAGAGGAATCCCCCTCCATAAAAATATCGGGTAGCACTGCATCGGGAGTTTCTTCGAGTCGAGGTCTCTTTTGATAAGGAACAAGAAAGTGGTCTAAAGTTGATTGTCTTACTCTCTTAATCAAAATTTTTCTAAAATGCGCTAGCACAGTGTCGTTCATTAAATTAATGACCCTATTAGCCACAACTTTGTTAGGATGGTGCTTCTCGATAAATTCCTGCACATCATTCCATTTTCTGCAAATTTCCTTGATCTCAGCACTGGTGATTTCTTCCCTAGCCTCTTCCTCTGACGAATGCTCTTCTTGTAAGACTTTCATCTGTTCTTCCTGCATGGCAACCAGCTCTTCTGTCGTTAGTTCATTTTGATGGTCTTTCAGCAACTCCTCCACGTCTGCATCATCTACCTCTACTCTCAAACTCTTGCCAATGGACACGATTTCATGCACTACATCAGGAGAGCTCTCTTCTTCAAATTCCTGAAAGTTTCGCTCTGGGACACAAGTTGGCCAAAGTTTCCTCCAGGCCGATTGCAAAGTGCGGTGAGAGACCTCACTCCAGGCTTTGTCAATAAGGTTGATACAATGCAGGATGTTAAAATGCTCCTTCCAAAAAGCTCTAAGAGTTAAGTCGGTATCATTGGTAACCTGAAAACACATGGTAAACAGTGCCTTGGTATACAGCTTTTTAAAATTGGAAATCACTTGCTGATCCATTGGTTGCAGTAATGGAGTTGTGTTGGGTGGAAGGAATTTGACCTTGATGAAGTCATGTTCACTATCCAAGTCGTCCTCCAAATTTGGTGGATGTGCTGGAGCATTATCCATTAAGAGAAGACATCTAAGAGGAAGATCCATTTCCTGAAGATAATTTTTAACAGTAGGAGCAAACACTTCTGTGAGCCAATCCATGAATAAAGTCCGAGTTACCCATGCCTTACTATTTGCCTTCCATTGTACAGGCAGTTTGGACTTTATCACATTTTTGCTCTTAAAGGCACGGGGATTTTCAGCGTTGTAGACTAAAAGTGGCTTGATTTTGAGGTCACCACTTGCATTAGCGCAAAATAAAAGAGTGAGTCTGTCCTTCATGGGCTTGTGCCCGGGAAGTGCTTTCTCTTCTTGGGTTATGTACGTTCGTCTAGGCATTCTTTTCCAAAAAAGACCGGTCTCATCGCAATTAAACACTTGATTCCAGACGTATCCTTCACTTTTTACAAACTCTGCGAATTCATCTACAAATGCTTTTGCTGCTTTTTCATCTGAACTTGAAGCCTCCCCGTGTCTTATGACACTGTGAATGCCAGTTCGTCGACGAAACCTATCAAACCACCCTCGGCTCGCTTTAAAGTCCTGCCTGTCTGCACTTGTACTGGGTCAACAAGTCATTGTATAAATTTTTAGCCTTTTCACAAATTATAGCTTCACTAACACTATCTCCAGCAAGTTGCTTTTCATTGATCCATATTAGCAACAGTTTTTCAACTTCATCTAAAACTTTAGATCTTTGTTTCGATATCACATTCACTCCTTTAGTCACTTTGGCAGCCTTAAATGCCTTTTTGTTTTTAATAATTGTAGAGATAGTCGATTTTGCCACATTATATTCTTTAGCAATGTCAGAAACACGAATGCCATTCTCGTATTTTGCAATAATTTCTTTCTTTAATGTTACACTAAAACGTTTTCTATTTTCACTGTCACTTTTTTCTTTCTTTGGTGCCATATTGATTAAATATACAGTATAAATAACAAAACTAAAAAATAAAGTTTAGCACACTCAAAAAAGCAATGCTTACCTTGCACACACCTAAGAGCCGTTCTGGAACCTCAGAACCAGCCGTTCTGAGTTCCAGAACGGCTGGAAACTATTGGGTTGATGCAAAAGTTCGTCCCGTTTTTAGCACCAGCTGGCTAAAAATGCAACACTGAAGTGTTATTTCTTTCACATGTGTAAAATTTCAATGTTGTTTGACAAAAGGGATCTCAGCTAGTATTTGAGAATAAAGTTGTGTTACTTAGTTGTGTTTTTAAAATTTTGTTAAGCATTACAAATGGCAGAAAATAAGGAGCATTTTCGACATATTATACTTTTTTATTTCTGAAAAGGCAAGAATGCTTCACAGACACAAAAAAAGATAAGTTCTGTGTATGGTGAGGGAGCCATTGATGATTCCACGTGCCGTAAGTGGTTCAGAAAGTTTTGTGAAAGCAAGCTTACAAATTTGACACAAAAAGCCGTTTAGTTCATTATCCAGGACAAAATTTTTGCAAAATAAAAGTTTGTTAACTGATTTGGTCATTAACCAGGACGTTTGTTAACCGGGGTTCCACTGTATCTGGAAAAGCCACCACCTCTAATTTTATTAAACAAACTAAGAATTTCTAAACAGACCATTCTGTATAGTGATTGAATAAATTCGTTTTTCACTCTGTCTGTACCAGGAGATGAACCCTTTTTTAATCTTTGAATTGCCACTTTTAGTTTGTCAAATGAGAAAAGATCATCCAAAAGAGCAGAATTATCATAATTTATAGTTGGCAAGACACCAAGACCACTATTATTAAAATTTAATTTCAAAAAAAACTTATCCATTCATCAGTAGAAATCTGACTCTCTGAAGTTGCTTAACATACACTATTTATCACAATTATCCAACAGTCTCTTGACAATCTTGTAGTTTGCAACTGTTTACTTATATTAGTCCAATTTTTTTTCTTCTTAGCTTGACATAGCAAATGAAATCTAATTTTATAATTAATATATTTAACCAATTTCTCTCATTCGAGTGAAACATGCTAAACTCCCACAATGTCTTATTTTTCTCTTTTTTTACAATTTTACAGTCTATATTAAACCATCCAAAACCAACTCTGCTCTTATCCCAAATTTTATCACTAATCCACATTATCTAGTAGATTTCTAAATTAAAGTAATGATTAATTAATTAATTAATGTCAAGAAAAAGTGAAGATATCACAAGATTATAGGAAGAACTGATTATTGGGAACTCTCGCTTTCTCATATAACTTTTGTGTTTATTTCTTTAGTCATCATATCTTTTCTCTCACTATTGTAATCTTGCTATGCAATGTTTGTTTGTTTTATGATTGTGTATATACATACTAAATTTCAATAAATTCTGTTAAGTACATTTCATTTATTTTTCAAAAAATAATTTTTGGACTCTTGACATCAATATAACCTATAGCTTATTACATTGCGACTTATCACCACTATAGATATGTATTTCTAAACACTATTTTGGTTATAATTTCTTTATAAATAATTTCATATTCTATTATGATATATAGTGTACAGTGAACTCTTGTCAATCCAAACTAATTATTTTACAGGGTAAGCACCCTGTAAAATATTATGGAAAAATTTGTATTTGCAAGGTTATATATAAGAAAAAGGAAGTCAAAATGGACTACATAAAAATATAGATATTTAAAGTTTTTAAATTGTATTTGACACTCATGTTTATGTTAAAATGTATAATACATATTACTTTTACAAATTTTTAATGTTTTCAAGAAATAATTTTTGATTTGTTTTTGACTATAAAACTTAGCAGAAGTGTGCACTGTATACAGTATATTTATTTTCTTTTTATATTATTTATTTTGATAAATACACTGTATATTTATCAAAATAAAGAATATGCTTGAAAAATTAACTTAACTGAATAAGAATTTAATATATATCAGATATTCATGCAAAGTACTTATTGATTGCAGGATATAATAGAATAATATGGAACATAGAAGAAACAAAAGAAAACCTCTTACACCAAATCATTCCTTTAATTTGAAACTTAAACGTAGAAATAATGAACGGTAAATATATGTTATTTTATAAATCTTAATCTTTTTTCAACAAAGTTAAGTTTCCATCTTCTATAAAAAAAACCATAGAAACCAATAAAAATTTCTATTGATTTTTTTCTATAACAATATTTAAAACTAATAGAATTTTTTATTGTTATTCTAGGGAAATAAGTTATTTAAACCAATAGATACCAATAAAATTCCTGAGATCAAAGAATTAGTATAGCTCAACTATAGTTTTAATTATGGTATAAGGAAATTGTAAAATGAAAATTTTTCACATGCCACATGTACTATATGTGCCATCATAATTGGATGCTATTAATTTTCCATGTGACAAAACACACATGTATATTTTATTTTTTGGAAAAAAATACCTTTAAATTTTTTAATAACCAGTTACTGTACTCTTTTGCTAATATACTATTATTTGTCATTGTTCAGATTGGTAGAATTAATTTATAATTAAGAAAAGAAAGTCAGAAAGGCTACACATAAATAAGTGTATATACAGGGTAGTGCACATTATTTCTACCAATTTCAAATGACAAGTAAAAGACAGTGAAAAATTGTAGAAATTTTATTTGGCCATTAAATGAAAGACCACACATATACATTTAGTATCACTTATAGTATACAGTACAGGTATCTCTTGCTTAATATGGGATTTGATTAATGCTGCAAAAGTAATTTCGACGATCCCTTTATATACACGGCAGAAGTTTGAATTAATCTATCTTTAAATTTACCATGCAAAAATATACAAGCAGTGAGAAATGTTTTCTAATCAATAGAAAGTCATCATTCCTCCCAAGTAGTCATGCTGCCAGAGCCTTAGAGCCAGTTTATTACTCATAGTCATGCTTGTAGCTGTTCTACTATATTGACAAGTTATGTTCTTTGTAAACTTTACAGTCCATCAATCATGTTGAAAAATAACAGAAATTCCACAACTGGGTCATTAAATCAAAAAAAGAAGAGGAAAGTAATTACATTAGATACAAAACTTGAAATAATTAAAAGATTTAAATGTGTCAAAAGTAAAAGTAAAATTGCAAGTGAATTTGGTTTTAATGAGTCTACAATACGGACTATTTTATCCAAATCTGATGAGTATAGCAAGCAAGGTAAAGTTGCATCTACATCTGCAAGTATGCAATGTACACGTAACCGAAGTGCTATAATGGTTGAAATGGAAGATCTGTTGATTATTTGGCTGGAAGACTGCAATCAAAAGAAAATTCCAATAAGTGGTTTTAATATCATGGCTAAAGCTCTAAGCCTGTTTTCAAGACTTAAAGAGACTAAATATAAAGAAGATAACTCAAAATTCACAGCTAGCAAAGGCTGGCTTGAAAATTTTAAATCTAGGGCTGGGCTAAAGAATATGAAGATAAGAGGTGAAGCTAAAAGTGTCAACAAAGATTCTGCATCTACATTTCTTGGTGAGCTACAGAAAATTATCAAAGAAAATGATTATGATTACTGCCAAATTTTCAATGTAGGTGAAACTGCCCTCTGCTGGAAAAAAATGCCATCTAGAACTTTTATAGCAGAAACAGATGTAGCACAGCCTGGCTACAAAGTATCAAAAGATTGCTTAACTGCTATGCTTGGAGGAAATGCTAATGGAGATTTTAAATTGAAGCCACTTATTGTCCATCAAACTCAGAACCCAAGGGCTTTAAAAGGATGTAACAAGAACTCTTTACCTGTAATTTGGCAGGTGAATCAGAAGGCTTGGGTTACCCAAAGCCTGTTCAAAGATTGGTTTAAGTCTTATTTTTGTCCAGCAGTTGAAGCTTATTGCAAGAGTAATAACTTAGCTTTCAAAGCTCTTTTGCTTTTAGATAAAGCACCTGGTCATCCAAATTATCTAAATGATCTGTGTGAGAATGTAAAAATTTTATTTTTTCCACCAAATACATCTCTACTACAACCTATGGACATGGGTGTCATTGCAACTTTCAAAGCCTATTTTTTTAAAAACACATTCTTAAAGGCAGTAGAAACAACAACAGGGGAAAATGCGATTACACTCCCAGAATTTTGGAAAAATTTTAATATCAAGCATGCAATTGAAAACATATGTGACTCATGGGAGCAAGTGTCTTCTAGCTGCATGAGAGCTGTTTGGAAAAAGCTTTTGCCAGAATGTGCTAATGACTTGCAATTTTTTCAAAATCCTGTGAACAGCACAATTGATGAAATCATTGCAATTTGTGAAGACCTTGGTTTTGGAGGTGTTAATGCAGAAGATGTTAAAGAATTATTTGATTCAAATTCAAAAGATTTGCATGATGATGGTCTTGAAATTGAACAATTATGTGCATATGAAGACAACAAACAAATAAAATCTGAAGATGTGGTTCCAAAGGAGATAACAATCAAAGAACTGGATGGAATATTTCACAGTTTAGAATTGCTTAAGCAGCAAGTAATGGATATGGATCCAGATGTTAACCGAAGTATGCATGTTTGCCAGGGTATAGAGAGTCAGTTTACTTGTTATCGTAAAATTTATTCTGATAAAAAAAAAATCTAATACTGTTCAAATGACTCTTGATAACTTTTTATCTAGTAACAGTAACTAATGTATGTAACTTATAAGCATTTATTAATCATTTAGTTTGCTTTCATGTCTTATTTTTCCTAAAATAGTACCACATTTTAGGAAAAATAAGAGGATTATTAGTACAGTAGTCAATCGTAGACAAATTCTAATTTTACCATTGATTGTAGTACCTTGGTACTCAAATTGTTTCAGAAGTCTCTTCGAGTAATGAACAAATTTTTTTATAAGGAATAATGTAAATTAGATTAATCCAATTCAGACCTGAGAGCACCCTTATAAAAGTATTTTAACTAGAATTTAACACAAATTTAACAAGAAGTTTAAAGCCTAGCATGCATAAATCATAAAAAAAGCAAAAAAAAATACACATATACACTAGAGTGGCAAAATACACCTATTGGGTTTGACTAGAAAGTTTTTGCATGTTTTTAACAGTTGTCTTTACTTAACTTAGATATGTGATTTAATTATAACAGTTCTGAAATTTAACACATTATTGCTAACTTGATATTGTATTCTATGCTTAGAAGTTTATTTTAAAACTTTTTGCTTTGCATTTTGTTTGCATAAAACCAAATTGAAATGTCTGCAGATAAATTGCATATCAGGCATATTATACTTTTTAAGTTTCATAAAGAATATAATGCTTTACAAACTGAAAAAATATTCATAGTGTTTATGGGGAAGAGGCTTCTAAACTTTGAATATGTCAAATGTGGTTTTGAAAGTTTCGTTTAGGAACTTTTGAACTAAAGGATATAAAACATATAGGGCACCCAAAATCTGTTGACAAAAAGAAATTAAAGAAAGAAATTATTAAAAATTGACAAATAACAACTCATGAACTTGCAATCATTCTTAATGTCATGATAACTACATGCTATGTAAAACTGGATTTAATTAAGTCCAATGCATGTAACCATACCAGAAATATCCAGCAAAAGTATATTTACTAAAAATAAAGAAAATAAATGTTTTGTGTGTCACTGACATGTATTATTAAAACACTTCATCCACTTGAAATTGTTGCATAACATGATGATTTTGACCGTATTTTTTGGCCTTCTTCAGGTTAAAAGTTCCGAGATCCGAAAAGCCGTTGTGCTTAAAGATTTAAAAGTATTAGAACATTTTGGAACATATCCAACTTTACATATAAAATTAATTATGCGCATGCATATCAAGCATTGCATAAACAAAAATATATTTAATAAAATATTATTTTACACCCACATGAAACGGTGCAAAACACCTTAGAGTTGTGGGGTCTTCCCCTTCATAAACAAACTTCCAAGCTGTAGAAATATTAATCGCATCCTTATTTGCATTTTTCACCGGATGCTCGCCCTCTGGTGTTTAAAAACAAAACTATTCTATCTGGGTCGTTTGATTCATTCTTGTGTATTATCAGTAGTAAAGATGAAAAGCGATAGAAAAAGCAACTCTTACTGTTTGTTCCAAATTGCAATTTCAAAGCCTTACGAGAGCCTGATATAAGTTTTCGTCTATTCCCACACGAAAAATGGAAAAAACAGATCGGTTATATTTATGAGCTCTGAATTCTGAAAGAATGGATTAGACTTAAGAATTGGCAGTTTCCCGATTGTCCAGCTTTACACAAACAAGTTATGCTGTCAATTTTAAAACATTTTGTTAAAGTTTAAAATGCCAGTAATTTTGTGTAGGATACGGGGCCGGATTTAAGCATTTCAAAGCCCTAAGCTGAACTCTGTAAGGCCTCTTACCAACCCTTCACAATTTTAGAAGTCAATCATAAAAAGAAAAGAATTAAATCAGACAATGACTGATTTAATATGGATATTGGAAGAAAAAGACATGAGGTTTCACTAGTCTTCTGTTTTATAACTAAGTTTAATTAAAGTTTTATAACTATTCCATTAGAAATCTTTTTTAAAATTGGTTTTATCAATTTTTTTAAAAAAGATCTTATGTCAATTCTTAGAAAAAAATTAATGAAATACTAAACAAAATAAACAGTACATTTTGTGTAGTATTTTTTGTAGTATTAAACAGAAGTATATTTTGTTGGTTTGTAAAAAAAATTCTATTACAAAATCTAACTTCAATTTTCTTTTTTGTACAAATGTTTGAGGTCACTTGAAAGTTGAGGCTTTTTACTTGTAAATCCGGCCCTGATGGGACAATGTCAAAGCTGATGTTTTTTAACACAAAGGGCACAAATATGTATAGAACAATCTCGCTCATTTGTTTTGATACCACATAATGACGTGTCCCGCTAACAATAATTGTTCTCCTTCTATAAAATTTCTTGATAAACAGCTACAGGCAGCATACAGTCGACCAAGGGGGTCGACTGTATGCTGCTAATAAATTGGAACGTATCTATAAGATAGATATGTTCCAATTTATTAGGAATCCGATTTCTTACAAGTCGGTCCAATCACAGCCCGACACGTGTCAAGTTTACGGACTACGGCTGATTGAAAGGTTTTCTTCCATAAAATTAATCGATTCTACACTAATCCGACTCAACATTTCCAAAATACGTATATTTTTTCGTAGTTTTATAGGAATCGTAATTATAGGGACCGTAATTATAGGGGGTCGACTGTATATCATCATATCAGACAGTAATATATGATTACTTTTACATTACTAGTTACAAGCAACCCAGATAAAGAAGCCATTTTGTAAAAATGCAGCGCCCTCTATAGTTCATGAAAAACGCAAATAGTTGATGCAGTAATTGCGTAACCCCGCTTTATATGTTTCCAGAGTTTCTAGTTTTGATGTGTGTTCCCGTCTGTGTGAAGTTTAATGACGAACGATAGTTAGAATAGATAGAATGAATGATAGTTGCTCATGCACGAACAACTCCAATAATTCTGTCTTTGGCAAGGTGGTGGTTGAATATAACCACCACTTTGATCTGATTTACAGAAAAATTGCTGCATATACAAACAAGAGAATTGCATATAACAGGCGTAGTACTATTTATGACATTCTGCACAACTGCAAAGACGACATAGACAAAAGATTTGCTCCGGGGATATATTCTGTCCCATTAAGGGACCTTGTATATATTGGTTCCACGATACGTTCTCTAGATAAGCGTATACGCAAACACAAATATGACATTGATCATAACAGATGCACCACTGCCCTATCTACTTATGCTTTGACCCTGGGCATAAGTGCCGACTTGCATAACGTGCAAATCATTAAACTATCACATAGAAGGGAACCCATATGAACTCTAGAAACTCTGGAAATATATAAAACGGGGTTACGCAATAACTGCATCAACTATAAGGATGCGATTAATACTTCTACAGCTTGAAAGTTTGTTTATGAAGGGGAAGACCCCCACAACTCTATTTAAGGTGTTTTCCACTGTTTCATGTGGGTGTAAAATAATATTTTTTAAAAATATATTTTTGTTTATGCAATGCTTGATATGCATGCGCATAATGAATTTTATATGCAAAGTTGGATATGTTCCAAAACGTTCTAAAACTTTTAAATCTTTAAGCATAATGGCTTTTCGAACCTCGGAATTTTTAACCTGAAGAAGGTCGAAAAATACAGTCGAAAACATTTGTTGTTTTTTCAATTAAATATTTTACTGGTCACTTAAAGGTTTTTGTGAGTCTATTATATATATTGGGCTAGTACCTGGTAACGAGTAACCTTTACACAAGGTGAATCAAGTATATTTTTGTCTGGTGAAAGTAGACAGCTCTATGGTTTCATTTTATTTTTAAATTAGTTACTCATGTTTATCACAGAAAACTTTTTACAGATGACAAAACTTAAAGTTAAAATGAAAATATTTGCTATTAACCAAAAATTTGATTTAGCAAGTTGTGATTGTTCAATTGAGTACTGAGGTACCGCTGTATTTGATTAACACAAGTTTGAAGTTTGATATATATGATAGCATTGAGGGATTAATTAATTGTGTTAATCAAGGGATAGCATTGATATGATAGCATTGAGGGATTAATTAATTGTGTTAATCAAGGGATACCTGTACTCAGTGGTGATATTCGAAATATTTAACAAAGGGTTCGCTAACAGAAACTTTTTCCTTAACCTAACCCCAAGCCCGAGATAACTCGGGCAAGTTACATAGCGTTTCATGAAACTCGGGCGTTTGGTCTCCCTAAAAGTTCTGTTTTTTTTTTTTTTGGCTTTATGGAATGTTTTTTAAGTCTCCAAATTTTTTCAAAAATTTTTTCCCGCGCGAAAAAATTTTATCGCGATTTTAATTTACCTTTAATGACGCACGATTCACACTTAATTGCTTTTTAATTGTTTTTTAATGGGAGTTTGATATCAAATTTCATTCATCGTTCTAAAGTTGTAGCGCACGGATTTTACTTCGGTAAAGTTATTTAAAGCTAGTTTCTGATGTCAAAAACGACCTCCGATAGTTTCTAAATTTTTTTAATTAATAGATTTTATTATATATAAGTTTAATTAAGTCGGGGGGGTCGGAAATCGCAATAAAAATTTTAATTTTTTAAAAATATATAAAAATATACGGCCAACTAGTATTCACCCTACTATAAACCTATCGCCTCCCGAGACTTCTATGAGAATGTTCCGGAAAATCGGACTCCAGCTGTGTTCAAGGTCATCCAGCTGTTTAAACAATGACTCATCAGCGTAAGATTTCACAGAAAGACGAGACAAAGGAAAATAAAATCTGAAGCTTTTTCTTCAAAATTAACGCATTTCTTTCGTTTTTTCAGTTTTAAGTATTTTTTATGTTTAATTACATTAATATCAAAAATTGCTAGAGTCCCAAGGAGTTAATTGCTTTCCCTATGACTTTTTCTCAAGAAAAAACTTTTTAAATCGTTTATTTTATCATTAGGTATTATTATAATAAGAGACAGATGTCATTGTTTCTCGAAATACAATATCTTTTTTATTTCGCTGTCGATAGCCGGACACGTGTTCCGCAGCCATCTTGTATTTTCTCGCGCGCGTGGGATTGTGGGATCCCTCGTATGACTGGATCTAGTTTCAAGAACTCTCTTGAGTCGATCGCGATTAAATCTCGTTTCAGTCGAGATTGAAACGGTCGATGGAGGTTATATGCGAACGGCGACAATTAGAATATGGCGAACGGGATATAAGGCTCTAGTTTAGTAGTGTTACAGAGTAGAATACGTATATTTTAATATATTTTTTAAAAAAAACAAAACCGCTGAGAAATGTTACGTGTGTTTAACAACGGGTTCGGAAAACTTTGAAAATGTTAACAACAGGTTCGGCCGAACCTGTGCGAACCTGCTGAATATCACCACTGCCTGTACTTATATATGAACATTCGTGCTACTTGAAAATAACATCTAAATGTCCTCTGCCAGCATGGCTGCATTCTTATAAGTTCACTGCAAAGCATCCATGACATGTGGCACCATGTCTTGTGGAATCCCACTTATTTCCTGAAAAATGGAAGCCTTCAACTTTTCAACTGTATGGAGATGATGGGTGAAGACTCTTACCTTCAGATATCCTCAAAAGAGGTAGTCCAGAAATGTTAAATCTGGGGAGCAGGATGGCTAGTACAAATCATCAAAGCAGGAGATAGCGATTGGCAAACAACTCTTGGAGTAGAGCCACATTTGTGCAAGCTGTGTTTGCTATTGCTCTGTCATGTTAGAATCAAATTGTGTTAGCCATGTTTCATGCTTGCAATTCAGGCATTAGGAAATTTTGCCATATTTCATTGTAGTGGTTTGCATTCACAGTTACTGGACATATAACACAATCTTAAAAATATAGGAGCCAATAATCCCACACATGCCTACTGTACACCACATCACAACTTTTGTGCAGCCAGAGGTTCCTTGTAAAGAATTCAAGGATTTTCACTTGCCCAGTATCTCCAGTTTTGTTTCTTTGACGAGCAAGAAATGTCTTGCAGTGATACAACAAAAGAAGAAAAATTAATACAAAAATATAATAATAATAATAAGTGAAAAAATAGCTGACATAAAAAAAATTTTAAACAGAAAACAATAAATGTATTGATTTGATAATTAATAAATATTTTTATAATGTACACAATTGCTTATGTCTCTATACATT